CCCCGTGTATACCGGATCTACGGGCAAATTTTTTGCCCAAGCCTACAGCTCCGAATCGTCCCACGTTAAAAAAAAAAAACAAAAAAAAAACGGATTTTTGCCACATCCCACCTTGTGGGGAGGCCTTGGTAAATACCGAAACAGCAAAAGTAGAATTCGCCAGACCCCTGAGGTTGCCAATGCTTGGCTTCTCGACCTTTCTGCTTTAGGACAGAGTAAAACCCAGGCGAGTCTCTGTCGAAGGACAGAGTCTTGTCTGGGGAGGTAGACATCTACCCAACCCCGTGTATTCGGGGTCTACGGAAAAATCTTTGTGTTATGGGACCTACCTTTATGGACTAAATGGACTCGTGCTATATATACTATATATACGAGGAGATTATGCCTCTCATAAGAGCTGTCTACAGTTGACCTGTTCCAGCTAAACAGTCGAACTCTCTGCCTTCGGGCGGAGAGGAATCCAGAACCCGTCGAAGGGCAGAGTCTCGTTCGGGGAGGATGGCTGCCCCTGAACCCGTTTATGCGGGTTCAAAGAGGGATTATTTTTGGCCGAGCCTACGGGCTCGGAGATCCCACGTTAAACCGGCCTTGTGCCACATGTAACCCTCGTAGGAGGGTAACAAAATATCGCTGTCTACAGTTGACGAGTTGACTACTGTACTTTGCCGTCAGTCGGACGTGAAACACTTTTGTATACGTTCTTTTTGTTTAATGATATGTTTTCACTAAATTGCTGAGTTCGAGTTTTCGTTCGGACCTATTCTGGGTCCACAACACTTTGCTCGAGTACACGGGCTCGGAATTGCCTCACGTAAAATAACCGGCCTTATGCTCACATCCCGCCTTGTGGGGACGTCATAGTTAAATCCCGAGACAGCAAAAGCCTTATTTAGCAGTCGTCTGAGACAATACGGTAGTAATCTGCAGCTGGACTTACTCTAATAGTGATTGGAACTCAACTAAGTACTAGGCACATTACAGATACTATTATTAATAAGTGTTTGTTTTACGCTATCAATTTTTAATAAAATAAAATAATTTTGAAAATACTTGAAAGTAATCCTATACAAAAGAAACAATCTAGATAAGACACAATCTTTTTCCAAGACAAGAGAAAGTCTATTAAAACGTGCGTTAATATTTTGAAAAGGGAAAAAGGCTATTTTACTGGTCCCGATAAAATAGACAAATACGCTTTTAAGCTTATTTTACCGGTCTCGGTAAAATATACCACTAGGCTATTTTGCCGGTAAATTCTTTTTATTACTAGGAAGGAAGATAATGTCAACAAAAAAAAATAGCAACACACACATTTAACACAGAAGTTTATTTATTTTTACCATCAATTGTTAAAACATAAGTTAAAATCATTTAGTCATCTCATCAATTATTAAAAGAAATATAGAAGTCTCTTAACATTTTAAGCATTTCAGGCATAACAGTCTCTGCAAATCCAAAACTTGCCCTTGGGCATGGTTCTCTTGCCAATACACTTTAGATACACGCACTGAAGGCAACAGACACTTACCACAGAATCCATGCTGTTCCTGTCTATACAACTCACACAACCGCTGCGCTGACGATCTGAAATATTATATATTTATAGTTCTAAAACACTATTTATATTTACCGTGTTGTTTATTTTACCGGGACCGGAAAATAGCCTATTCGAAAAAAAAAAAAAAATATCTTCGGCGCGTAACGGTCTATGTTTTTTGTGTTTTATTTCAAATATATATCCCCCTTTACATATTGACACAAACTGTTTTACACCTGGCGTCATTAGTATTTGATATACGAATATATGAATTCAAATTCTAACGTTCTTAAAAATACCAGCATGAAATTAATATTTTTTTTTTTTTAGAATAATGTTAAGATTTGTGATAATGACCAGTGATGATCGAAAGTATTCTGGCAGGCATAAACATTATGATTAGGACCGTTTCTCCATATATTTGAGCGAGATGTGCGACAGCTTATACGCCAACTAGAAAATGTGAAAAAAATTAAGTTGCCATACTTTGTCTCCATCAACTTTATTAAAACACATTTGAACATACTGTAGATAGATAGATAGATAGATAGATAGATAGATAGATAGAAAAGACTAAAATAGATAGATATATATGGATAAAGTATACTTATACTGACAGAGAGAATACCTGCTGTTGAGATACGTTGAAATACGTGGAGATACGTTGAGATACGTGGAAATACGTTGAGATACGTTGAGGCAGGTTGAGAGATAAGGACAGACACAGGGTGTTCTTTTCTGATTTTTTTTTTTTTACAGAGATTTGTACATATACAACTAACCCGCATTCTTTACTATCCTTCTCAGTCTCTATTCTTACGTTTAATACACTTTTTTTTTTCTATCGCTGACGTTGTTCCTTTATTTGTATAAGATTCCATTCACGGAAACCACAACAGACAGATAGATAGATAGATAGATACATACATACATATATACATACATACATACATTTCATTGTAGTCTGTCGAATTGCCTTACATTTTCTTTTCAGGAGACTTTATGATAAAATTCCATCAGATGAAAGAATTCCAGAAACTAAACATAGAGGCAAAATAAGTGAACATGGTGCTTATATATATATATATATATATATATATAATATATACATATATATATATATATATATACTATATTTATATTATATATATATTATATATAATGACTGTGTGTGTGTTTGTGTGTTTGTGTGAATTGTCTGGATTAGGTGTGTCCGGTAATTTTTGAAAATAAACCTATGACCAAGACCATACTATCATCGATCGTCGCAAAAGCAATATATACAATGCAGTATACGAGCTAGTTGAGAAAAAAAACAACGATCTCCACACTCATTGATCTAAAACAACAGATACCAACTCAAATATATAAATATATATATATATATATATATATATATATATTATCGAGATATATATTTCAAAAACCGTCCAATCAATTCACAAAATTTTCACAAATGTTGACAACACTGACCTGCGCAATCACTGAAATTTTTTTGTACTGATTTTGGCGCCATATTTGTTATCAGCACGGTGATTTTCAAGTTATTAGAAAAAATGAATTTAGTGAAAAATGGTAAAAAGCAGTTTAAATGATGCTGAAAGAAAACTATCACCTCAGAACTCTTTAAATTTTGAAATTTTAAAATGATAAAGGTGTCATCAAACAATTGAAAAAGTTCAACGCTGTCCCTTTTCAAAATCCTCAAGCGAGGTTATTTTTGTCGTCTCATGTCACGACTTAAACGAGAGGCCACGAAAACCCTGGACATCAAGAGCTTTGCAGTTGCATTGGGGATCCTACTGTGTCTAAAAAAGTATCTGAAAATAGCAACAACAGTCAAACCTGTATCAGAAGCCTCCATTGAAGAGAAATCACATTTAAAATATTGAACTGGGCCAAGGACAATATGAAAATTGACTTCTCTAAAGTTTTGTTCACAGACGAAAACTATTTGATGGGCCAGATAAATGGTGCAAAGTATATATGAACGGGCAGGATCACCATCAGCGTTTACAATATATATAATTATCTGGGGTGATATTATTATATATAGAGTACCAGATGGCGTCAAAATGACATGATATAGCGTTTATGAATATATTTTGAACCGTGGGTGAAAAGGCAAAAAGTTGCCTTCAGACGCAAGATAATGCTCCCTCACATGCTGCTCACAAGACTACTGAAGTTAGGCTTCGATGGGCCTCGAAAATTTCAGCATTTTCTCTGATTTGAACCCAATCGAAAACCTTCATCATGAAGACTATACGCCAATGGACGACAATTTGTTGTGGGGAAGCAATTCTTGACATGTCTATCATTACCAGATGACATTTTTAAAGTCTATGGATCGTCGACTTCTTCTTTTTCAAAACAGGAAAGCACATTCCTAAATTTGTTTTCCTTTGTTTGTATCTGTTATTATTTGTTTGATTATCTTATTTATTAGCTTCTTTTGATCATAAACATTCGTGCAACATTAATAAACCTTTTGTTTTCAATTTGGAAATTTGACTAAACCTTCAAATATTTGCACGCCCCCGTGCTGATAACAAATATGGCGCCAGTTTGTTTACCTTGCGCAGATTTTTTTCAGTGATTTCAGTTTTGTCCTCCAACATTCTGTGAAAATTTTATGAATTGATTGAACAGTTTTTCTTATTAGAAAAAAATTATCTCGATAATGTCCTATATATATATATTGTGTGTGTGTTAAAAAAGATTCAGAATTAATTTCTTTTTTTTTTTTTTTCTCAATTTCATTCTTTTCTCTCATCACGAGAAACGCCAGCTTAGCGTAAAAAGTACTAACGATTTAGTATTTCTTCCGGTTTTTGATCTGATCTAGTAATAAACTGTTTTCCATTTGCCATATTCTTCAAATTTATACACACACATACACCCCCATATTTTTGACACACACACACACAGACACACACACACAAACATAAATATATATATATATATATATATATATATATATATATATATATTTTGATTTAAATGTTTTTCCACTACACAGTTTAACCATGTTTTTTTCGAATTTTTTTTTCAATTAAATTAAAGACATTATTCATTTCATCCTCAAGCGAAGTAACTTTTAAAACTACATCGAGCATAATTTTGTAAAAAATAAAATACCTATAATAACACCGGATTATATATCTTACTGTTCTTTCTTCTCTTTATATTTATATATATATATATATATATATATATATATATATATATATATATATATATATATATATATATACGTAGAAACCAGACGGATCTCCTTCATTTTTCCCTCTTTTTCTTCTCTCGTTGTCTTGTCATATCATTTCCACTTTTTAAACCTTAATCTGTCTCTTTTTTTAAAACTTTTTCCTTTACTTCCTCTCTTATCCTTTCTTATTTCTCTCTCTGCCCCCCTCTCGCTTTTTATCTTTTTCTTTTGTCCTCTTACTTCTGTGTATATTTTATGTCTTATCGCTGTCCTTCTCTTACTATCGTTCTTTCTTTTCTTTTTTTCTCTTTACTATCTTCGCTTTATAACTTCTATATCTCTATCTTTTTTGCGCCCTCTTTTTTTATTTTCCTCTTTTTTTTTCTTTCCCTGTCCCCTTTTATTTTCTTTTTTTTCATTATTCATGTTTCCAGTTCTATAATATCGCTTTCTCACACTCTCTCTCTCTCTCTCTTTCTGCTTCCCTCCTTCATTCCTCTTTCTCCTTTTTATTTATATTTGTTTCTCTTTCTCTCTCCACTTCCCTCCTATCCGACAGATTTTCCATTTCTTCTTCTTCTTCATCATCATCATCTTCTTCTTCTTCTTCATCTTCTTCTTCTTCTTCTTCTTCTTCTTCTTCTTCTCTTTCTCTTGCACACACGCTGCTCTTTGCTTCTGTTGTCTTCTCATCTCTTTCCTTTTTCTCTCTACCTTTTTCCACATCTATCACTTCGATATCCTTCTCTTCCCCTCTCTCTCTCTCTCTATATATATATATATATATATATATATATATATATATATATATATACATATATATATATATATATATATATATCTTTGTCTTTCCTTTTTCTGGGCTATTTTTTCTTTACCTTTGTTTCCGCTTGTATATAATTCTTTGCTTAACCACGATATCATTTTTCTCTATCTGTCTCTGTCTGTCTTTCTGTTAGTCTCCCTCTCTCACTTCTCTCTGTAATTTTCTCTCTCTTCTACCCTCCCTCTATACCTTCAATATAATTCTTTTCCTTTTCTCTCTTTCTCTCTCTCTCTCTCTTTCTCTCTTTCTCACTCACGCACAAACACACACACTTTCTCTTTTCTGTACTGCCTCTCTTCTCCCATACTTCTATAAATTCAATATCATTCTTCTCTCTGTCTCTCTCTGTCTCTCTGTCGCTGTCTATCTCTCTCTCTCTCTATTTTCATTGTTTTTTTACTTTCCTCCCTTTTTTTTATTATTGTTTCCACTTCGATATCATTATGTTTCTCCCTCACCCCCTCACTCGCTCCCTCGTTTTACAGTTTACCCTCCCATCCATCTCTTCTCTTTTTTGCTGTCTTTTTTTTTGTTTTGTTTTCTCCTTCTATATCCTATACATCTTTCTTTTTTCTGTGTTTTGGGGTTTTTCCTGCACTCCCCCCCTCTCTCTCTCTCTCTCTTCCTTCATTCTCTCTTTATTCCTCTTCTACTATTATTTGATAACTCCGTCTCCCTGAACTTAAATCAATAGCCGAATTATAGACCGAAAAAACTAATTACATTTTGCCACCTCCTAATTAGACATGTTTGTTCCGAAGCAACTTTTTTTTATTTTTCATTTGCCAAGTACTCAGCAAAAGTGAGAAATTCCCAATCCAGGACATCCAATAGAATCCTGTCCGATAGATTTTAAATATGTCTACTTTTAACAGTAACTAAAGCCAAGCCACAAATAATGAGAATAAAGACCTTTGAACCTCTCGTGTTCCATTATTTATTAACAACTTTTATAAACAACGAACGATTTAGAACATTAACTCCTCAACTGAAAACCATTCCACTATCTTTTCCAAGAAGCCATTGCAACTCACAGATAATAAATAAAAGGAAGTTGTGGAGAATTATGATCGCATATATATAAAACGGGGCGGGAAATCAGAAGAAAAAAAAGAATAATTAGTTTTATACACAGCAAATTGTATAAGATATACGTATGTATTTTCTATTGAATCCACTTCTTTTATCTTAGCCTGTTGCCTGGACCAGGAAAACTCCAAATACAACACCTGAAGAGGTGCCACCTACCATGAAAATATTTATAGACTCAAATATATGTGCTATATTTATGGGATAAAGTGCTCAATATCAGATACAGAGCGTGTGTAAATAAAATAAATATATATATATATATATATATATATATATATATGTGTGTGTGTGTGTGTGTGTGTGTGTGTGTAAAAAAACATATTTTAAATCAATTAATTTATAATATATATATATATATATATATATATATATATATATATATATATATACATGTGTGTGTGAAAAAAAATATTTTAAATCAATTAATTTCAATAATATATATATATATATATATATATATATATATATATATATATATATAAATTAATTGATTTAAAATATGGTTTTTTCGCTATACATTTTTTCGATACATATATATATATATATATATATATATATTATAAATTAATTGATTTAAAATATGTTTTTTTTCGCTACACAGCTCTAACCATGTTTCAAAAATGGAAGCTAAAAGCCACGAATTTAATTTTGTGTTTAAATTAAAGACATTAGTTCCATTTCATCCTCAAGCGAATTTGGGAGTAACTTTTTAAAATTACTGGGTTTTGAATACACAGCTAAAACAAAATTCATGTTTCCAAGGTTACAGATAAATCTATTTTTCTAGACAGGGGTGACTGGGTTTTCAATATGTCCATAATTTAATGTATCAGTTATTGCTACGTTTGGGTCGTGGGAAGGGATGCATTTTTCAATGAAATTTAACTTCCGTTAAAGCCTGTCGTTTAGATTTTTTTAAAATTATATTGTTAACGGCTAAAATTCTTACGGCATTTTTTCCCGTATATTTAAAGTATATTACGATTTTTTAAAACATTTTATATTTAAATATTACTAAAGTAAAATTTTCATTTCTCCGATTTAGTAGACTTTATTTATTTATTTAATTACAAATTAAAAGAAGTTTAGGTTAGAATTCATTTTAATTAACTACAGTTTTAATTACAACTTTAAAATATTTTCATTATTAGTTTTATAGACTATATTTCATTTAATAGAGTAAAAATATATCCGAGTTACTTACCGTCAGTAAAATTATTTTTCTATATCAAGTATATTTATATTACGATTTTTAAAAATTTTATATTTAAATATTTTTAAGTAAAATTTTTTTCATTACGGCAAAAATAGCTAATTCATTTCTCTGATATATTAAACTTTGTTTATTTATTTAATTACAATTTAAAAGAAGTTTAGGTTAGAATTCATTTTAATTAACTACAATTTTAATTAAAACTTTTAAAAAATTCATTATTTGTTTTTTTATAGAATATTTTTCATTTAATGGAAGTAAAATGTATTAGAGTTACTTCAAGTAAGTGAAAATATTTTTCTACATCAAGTATATTAATATTACTTTTTTTTTTAAAAAAATTATATTTATAAATATTTTTTAAGTATTTTTTAAGTAAAAAAAAAAAATGTTTTCCCATAGTTTACTTTCACTAGGAAAATGCTTGACTATTAATATTTCATGTTAAATATAAGTATGTATATTACCTGATCCTACTTTATAAAATTATTTTTATTTTTAAATATTATTTAAGGAAAATTTTTGACAATGACGGCATAAAATAGCTATTTCATTTCTCTGATTCAGTAAATTTTTATTTTTTATAAACTTAGCAATATATAGTTTCTCATGTATGCACAAAGGACATGGGTCATTTAATGACCTATATATTCTAGCTTTTCTTATTAACTTCCATTTTACTGTAGGTGTTTTATTTGATTCTTTTAGGTGCCAGAAATATTTTGATAGAGATGTCTGATTTTTATATTTATTTATTCTAAATGAAGTTTGATGTTGGTTGAATCTTCTTTTGAACTCATGGCTAGTGCAACCTATATATATTTTTATGTTTTCAGGACTTTCAATCGAAGAGATATTGCATTGGTATACTAATGATTCAGTGCGGCATTTATTTTGTAGAGGGCAATTATGAGGGTTTCTACAATTACATAATTTTTGTTTATTTTCATCGGTTTTTATTTTTCCATTGTCTATTTTTTTTTGGTTTTGGTATAAGTGTTTATTTAAGATATTAGCATTATGGTTCTTAATAATTTTTTCTAAGTTTTCCGTACAGTTATAACTCAATTTTAGTGTGTTTTTATTGAAAATAGTACTTAGTTTACTTTCACAAGGAAAATGCTTGACTATTAATGCAAGGAATTTTTGTCCTAATTTGTACTTTACCATTTGGTTGTATGGGGGCGTATACCAAATTATTTTTTTATGCTTTTCATTTGCATTTTTTATATAAGTTAGTTTTGGGTTTTTGTAGCCACTCACTTTTAGAGCCTTATTATAGGAATTAATATGCTCATCGAAAATCTTGTCATTTGCTGAATTTGTACTAATTCGTTTACTGATAGATAACGGTATATGTTTAATTATAGTTAGGGGGATTTGATTTAGGGTGTATATATAAAGGATTAGTGTTGGGCTTTTTATAAGGTGTGTATGTATTTTTATTTAGATCTAATGTTATATCTAGGAAGTTCACTTTTTTTTTATTTAGTGCTAACCGTAATTTTTAAGCACATGCTTTTAAATTCTTTATATAAAACCTTTCTAATTCTATCTATTTTGAAGTTGGTTGAGTTTCTAATAACCTATAAGGCCATCGTCTCTGTACAAACCAATGCCAGTTATATTAATATCACTTGCGCTGTAAGGTTGTATAATATAAAAGACCTATATATATATATATATATATATATATATATATATATATATATATATATATTTATGAGCGTCTGTAAACATCATTTACCACCGCCTGGTGAGGTGCAATAGTATGCATTTAAACGTGAATGTATTTATGTATTCTTATGTTCGAATGTAATATCCTATAATAAAGTTTATATATATATATATATATATATATATATAAAAAGCCTATATTCGTCCAACAAGATTGATAAAAAAAGAACCGACAAGCCTAATCTTTTATTATATTTTTCCAGTTATCGTATATGTTTAGCATTGTGTTCGAAGTTGCAGATAATCTGTCCGAAGTTGTTTTTTTTTTTCAAGTATTTTCGACTATCACAGTCATTATCAAGAACAAAAGTGGTATCTGTGTGGTAGTTGGAATTCTTTTGTCTACATCCTGGTATCCTTTGGTAAGCTGTAAGCTTGAAAGGGTCTAGCGTGACATCATATGTAATTGCTGTTGCAAACGAGGCCGTAATATACTAATATAATATAATTATTTTCTAAGCCTAGCTTAGTTGTGATACAAAGCTGAAAGTGTGGGGCACCCACTGAGGAGAGTACTCACTACTTAGTCTTAGTAGATTTAGTGAGATAAGATTACTAACCATTACACCACGTCTAAGCGCCCGAATACTTATACAATATATATGAATATATTAATTATATCATATAACCTTAAATATATCGTCTCCGGGACTGTTTATTTTGTATAATAGCTTCTAGAATTTTGAGTCTTTCCTTTCATTTGACGCTGAAGTTTATTTTGGTATTATCTACTAATCTTTGTCGTACGTTGATATTTATATTTTGGCTGTTCGTGATATACTGGTTGATCAACGCACCACGAATTGTACTAAGTTTCTACTTGTTTGTATATATGTTGTAACCTAGGGAAGGTTACTGAATAGAATAATCACACGAAGGTTAATAATACTTAGGACAAGAACAACACATATAAGATTCGCCAGGGGTACCTTGAGTTGGTGTAATGGTTAGCAAGTTTGCCTTGCTAGAACAATTACGACTGAGTAGTGAGTTCGATCCTCACTGGGTACCCCATATTTAGGCCTTGTACCACATCTGAGCTACGCTTGGAAAATCGCTATAAGATCTGCCAGCGGCGCGTAGAAGTAGTAGTCAACTTCTAGAGGTGAGTCAAGTGAATTCCACAATGAATCTCCAATTGCAATATATCTACCAACCGGCCCACAAGGCCGAATTTAATGTGAGGTATCCGAGCTAGTAGGGTCGGCCAAAATTATTTAGGTATTGAACTCACACTCTTTGGGTCCTATCACTGGATCTCAGTTCAATACCGGGTTAAGGCAGTGGAGAACTTTTAGAGGGGAATTAACAGGAGATAACTGACATGGCAGGTGATCAGTCTACCCCAGCGAGCGAAATAAAGAGTTCAGCTCGACATTCCAACCACCTGAAGAAGGCCGGAGCGTACAACGGCCGAAACATTGTGATAGCCATAGCAACAAAGATGGGGACAATAGTCCGAATAATGTAAATAGTGTACATAAAACCTCATCTCAGAAATATAGACAGATCGTCTCCTGTGTTAAATAATATTTAATGTGGCCAATTGATTTTGTATAATAATAGCTTCTAGAATTTTGAGTCTTTCCTTTCATTGGAGGCTGAAGATTATTTTGGTATTATCTACTAATCTTTGTCTTATGTTGATATTT